CAAAAGGAAAAAAGATATGATTTAATTCATTGAAAAATTGTTCATTTAAATATGGAAAAAAATTGTTTGAAAGAATTTTTAGAGGAAACTAACAACCTGTTTGTGAGAATTCAACATTACCAGTAATTTTTATGTTAATGATTGCAAAGCATGAAATGAATGGATTAACAGGGTAAATAAGCTCAAAAAAAAAAAGAATATAAGCTCGCATTGTGCCTAAAATATTGATTAAAATCATAAATGAAATACTTAATTTAAAAGCCAGAATGAGGTGTAACAGTGTTGAACTTTACTGGTGAAAGGTAGCTGATTTCATTTCATTTTGATAACAAAAAAATAGCTGATTTACCCGTAAAAAAATCAAACAAATTTTAGCTTTTATCATCATTCACTGATACATTCATTGATAATAATTGTCCACAAATTTTTTTAAAACTTTCCCTTTCCTCAAAAAAAAAAAGAAAGGATTAAAAAACCTTTGACCACGTGACAATTTTTTTTTTGTTTGCTTTGAACAAAAAGCGAAAATGAAATTTTTTTTGGGAAAAAATAAAAATTTAATTATTATTATTTAAAGAAGAACTGATAAAGAATTACAGTTTAGACCACAAGACAAAAAAGAACAATGCGAAGCAACGCGTATGCACATATGAACCGGTTACTGATAAGAAAATTGATTAACGGAAAAAAGAAGTATTGAATTACTTATGAAATGAATGTTGTGAAATAAAGATGTGAAAATGAGATATACTAAAATCATAAAACTATAAATGAGATCATTTGATGAGTGGAATGCTTCAGAAGAGATAGAAATTAAGTTAGAAAAGTGCTAAATTAAATGAAAGAATTTAAATATATAATAAACGATGGAATCTAAATACATTACTGCTCAATTTATTATTCTGTTATTAAAACTTTTGACTTTGAGTTATCACAATTTGGATTCTAAACAAATTTAAGCCATCGTTAATCAAAATATATCCGAATTTATAATTCAGGCTTTGAATTAGTTCCATTGAATATTATGCTAATTCACTGAGGTGCGAATTTTGCATTAAAATGAAAACTTTTAAAATCTTAAATAATTCAAGACCAGCAATTTTCCCGCATTTGGTTACTGAATCTTTGCCTCAGAAAATATAAGTATTAATAAATTAATTTCTTGTGAAATATTATACATCAAATCATCCCGATTTAAGCTTAGAAATATATTATTACAATAAATTATTTTTTAATTTATTTTTGAGGCACGCTGTCTAAATTTGAAGCAAATTCAATACCAGAAATTCGTTTTAGCACAATTAATTATTTAACACTTTATAAAAGAAAAATATTTTTATAGCTTTGAGAAGAGTATTATGCCAATTCATATGAAATTTGTAATTAAAAAAAAAGATGAAGAAACTAAAAAAGCGATGAATGATTAATTTTAGGTTAAAAAAAAACAGCTGAAGAATTAGATGAAATGTTCAGTAATTAAGTGTGAAATCAGGATTTACAAATGAGAAATTACGAAATTCATCTTGATTTATTGCCCTGAAAATGGCTGGCTCTGTTGGTGTAAGCACTGGTTCTTCCTTTGTGAAATCAGCATCAAAATTACTCGTATCACGTTTTGATTTCTAAAAATTAAATTAAATTAAAAATTTTTGTTCGTTTTTAATAAAGTGAAGAAAGAAATAAAAAAAAAAATATATCATAGAAAAGAAGCAAATTAAATGTGAAATGTTATGTGTTATCAAATGAATCTCTTTTAAATGTCTATCCATCTTGTCAAAAATTTACATTTTCACTGTTTTTTTTTTCAAACAAATTAAATAGATTGCTAACAATTTTAGGCTTGAAAGGTGGTTTCACACGGCGTGCCTCCAATGCTTCCCAATCAATTTCCCAGAAGAACGGATGAGCACGAATTGCGTCTTCACCGCCCTGTGATTGCATGCAACCCAATCGTTTTAATGGATTTTTCGTC